TTGGGTTTAACTTAAAATCATAAAGCAGATTTGTCTCATGGGTTAGATTTGTGGATATTTCATTTATTCTAAAGCAAAAAAATGTCAAGATTGAAAGGAAATTTGCCTTTGTTAACAATTTAAAGCATACTTTCAAAGAATCCTTTTTAAGTTGCTTGTGATTGAAACAACTGCACAGGCAAATCAATTCCCAAGAAACTACAGTATGGAACATATCATCAACACACACAATTAACTCCACTTTGGGTCTCACCAGATGCAAAAGGAAGGTAAGCTTTAAGAAGGAAACTGAGGACACTGTGTAAGCCAGGACAGTAGTCTCAAAGAATGTTTTTTTAAGAGAGAGGCCATCACACCAGCTGTAATGCATTTATACTTTTGCAATGCAAGTTTAAGGGATACAGCATTCTATCTTCTACTTTCAGAAGCTGTAGACAAAAATCAGGACAGAAAAGGAATTCCATGAATCAAGGCCAACTCTAAGTTTTCTGCTAATTGTAGTTTTCTTCATCTGGGGATATTTGGAAAAGGTAGTGAACTTTACCTAATATGTCACATATTAGATTTATTTATGTAGAACAGAAGGGTTGTAATGCTGGGGAAGAAGCAGGGAGCTGGACTAAGTAAAACAAGCTAGCATGTATATGTACAGGACATTTTGTAATAAAGAAATTAGTATTTTACATTTTTATACCTCCTTTTATTTCTGTGTTTTACAAACACAGTGAACTTAACATATTGCACACTTTCCCTCTTGAAGCATGACCACATCATTCATCTCATACTAAAGAATAAAGCAGAAACAAAGCTGTATTTGTGATTCTTCAGATATGCAACAAATCTTTTCTTCACTAGATGGCACCCTGTCTTCTCCTATGGATAAATGTTGAACGTGGAGAAAAGCAAAGGTTTCATTTTCACAGAAGAATATAAAATTATAGAGGACTTATTCTTTGTGTTGAATGATTTTACTGCTTCTTTTGTGTTCTACATCGTACTCCTTGTGTACTTGCATGGATAAAATTCTGCATCATAGACCTACCTCAATTATTTTACATTTAATATTTGTCTCAAAACTGATTATTGTCCAGAAATCTTCATGGAGATGCACCCGTTACAGTGGCTCAGACTCTGAATTACATTTAAAGAGCTCAGAATAAATTATAAATATAAAAATTACTTCTATATTTTTCTTTGCAAAATAAGCATAAATCTAGAATTGATGACAATACTGTCTCAAATCCTCAGCAGGTATAAATCAATTTGGCTTCACTGGAGTTGATTGATGCCAGGTGAAGATCTGCACCTGCAATTTAGATGCTGTCCTGCAGAGCACAGCTTGACTTGTTTTCTTTTTCTTCACTCCAAGGCATGATAATTGAGCTCATTTGGACACGCTTCTCACTTCTTAGTCAAAACTCCCACCTGAGAATTGGACTTAAAATCACTGCACGTCTCTTTGCAATAATTCAAAATAATCTTTCCAAACAGGAAAAAAAAGAAAAAGAAAGCTGACTAAAGTCTTAAAGACTTCAGAGCTCAAAAGTCAATACAACATCAGTGATTAGAACATGGCAACTGATGCAAGCAGAAGCAAAACACCACTCAGCTCCTTCATTTTTACTCTTACTGCCACTAGATGATAGTATGGTAACACCTGTATTGTTCAGCTGCACATCAGACCTTCTGTTGCTGAATTCCTGGCAGCACTCACACTTTTATATGTAAAGAATATCCAGAAGCTCATCAATACTACATAGCTAGCCTTTGAATAGCAGTGCTTAATTATATCCCCTGTGATTTCATGCATTAATATACCCAGAGTGTGGTGGATGCTATTTGTCCTTAGACCCAAACTGGGCTTTATTTAGGCACAGAGATAATGCTAAATTGATCACCTCACTCTTTTTGTGAGTTACCCACCCAAAGCTGTAGTGAGACATTTTGATGGAAAGGGCAAGATAATTACATTTCCCTAGCAGGAAGCAGGGGAATGGCTGCAGGTAACATTTACATTCCGCCTCACGGGCATCCCACTCACTGCCAGTTATGCACATCCACTCACTGCTTCTTCCACCTTTTCCATTTTGTGCTCTCCCTCTTGAGAGGATTCCCTCCTCATCCAACAGAAAAGCTCTGGGCTAGGAGGAGACTCTCATCCGGAAAAACACCTTGAGCACACAACCGTGTCCTCTCCACAAACCCTTTCTCTCCCATCTCACATAGTTTGTACTCTCCTATTACAGTAAAATTAAAACCAAACTGCTCTTTCTCACAGCTACTCTGTAAGTAAATAGTCAAAACCATTCACTGCACAATTTTTTCCCTAGGTAAATCTAAAAAGTCTGGTTTCTTTCTACCCACAATAAAATGGTCAGTTTTTCTCTTGGTAGGCTGGACTGACTCTCCCTGGCCAGGAATATGCATCCCAAAGGAGAGGTGAGTGGCCAGCTCCAATTTTGCACAAAACCTTCCCCATCACAGTCAGTTTTACAAGCACTTCCAGGTCCCCACAGTGGAGAAAATCCCATCCCTTCTGGGATTTTGGGTCTGTAATCTGTGCCAGACATGTAGAGTGATGAACCTGTTGGCACCACAGGCAAGCCAAAAATTGAAAACCAGAATCTCCAGCGAAAAGACATCGGCCCTTGGACCAACAAAGACTAAGGGGATGCAGTTCAGAAAGTGCAAAGGGTAAAGTCACACATCATTACACTGTTGGCTAATTCTCTGCTCAAGGATTTGATTCAGTCATGATCATCACAAGTCACTGAATTTTCCACAGAAATTAGATCTGGATATAGGGAAACTCTGAATTTCTGCATTACTTTGGTTATTTTGACAAATTTTTGTTTTAATTCAGGATTAAAGTATATTTGTAAGATGTGCAGGTTTCAGAAGGCTTGTATTTATGTTATTTACTTATTGGTTTGGACTTCTGGAATAGTGCATAAACTACTAACTATATGGTATAATACTTAAATGAATAGTTTTCAAAATCAGTAAGAATGTTTTGTATGTAATGTAGGTTGAACTATCTATTGTTTTGTACTCAAGGCATTTACAGTGTCATTGTAGGCCCAGGAGGAAAAAACAATTCCAATGTCACAGTCTTTCAGCATGTCAAATATAAGTCTTAAAAAAATAACTTGTTCCGGTTGGAAATCAAGACATAAAGAATAGAGTAAAATATATCAAACATTATAGAAATCACCGTTACTGACATGGTGTAAAATATATTAACAATATTATAAAAATCAAATTCCTTTATGGGTTAAAATAAAGCTTTAGAACTTGGAAATTCAATTCTGAAAAATTCTAAAAGTAAACATCTTGAAAAATGTCTACTTCAAAAGTCTTCCTCCATTATGAACCTTCATCATATTTTACAATTAAAATTATTTTAATATCATCTTCTTTCGCTTTTCATAAAGAACTGTAACAAAAAAGTCCAATGAACTGGCATAATATTTGAACTGGCATTTCCTCAGCTTATGAAAAATGAAGCACTCCATTTTACTTACATGAATAAGGATGCTCTATATCCCACCTATGAATATTAATTTTTTTACAGTTCTTCTCTGTGATATAAGAATGTTTAAAACTCACAGTCAGGGAGAAGTTCTGCTGCTAACAAACCTGTAACAAACCCATATTTGCAGGGATAATCATGTCAGCTGTCAGAGCACAATGAGGAGCAGCTTGTTGTCGAGGGATGGTGAGCCAGGAGCGGAGCAGAATAACAAGGCAAGTGGGAGCAACACTTTCCACCAAGCAGTGAGGCTGTGGAGTAGCAGATCGGGATGGTGATCAGGATCAGGATCAGACATGATCCAACACTCTCCCAAGATGTCCCCTAGGAGTGAGCCAGTTAAATGCTTTATCTCCTCCAAGCCCCCTCCCAGAAGGGCAGTGCATGTCTGCCCTGCCATCAATACTGCAACATGCAGCCCTGGCAGCTAGAGGTGCAAAGTACAGCTGAATGAAATCCACATTTTATGTGAAGAAGTCATTCAAAAACCTGAATGGGTGACTATATTAAAAAAAAATACTGCTATTATTGCCTTTTTAAAATGCCATAGAATGCCCTTTTTTCAAGAATAAAATAAAAAAGGGCTGTGGGGATATATTTATGAGGAAATATTATTTATCAAATATAGAGCATGTAAGAATAGTCTGAGAAACACTTGTGCTTGACAGACAGACATGTTCCAAAGGCTTCTGCAGAGCTACACGAAATGAGTAATTATATTACAATTGCAGGTTTTAATGCACATGGAAAACACCCCAAGTAAAATTAACTCATCACTCATTCTATTTTTTAAAAAAACAATAGTACCAAATTCCAGGGAGAATAATGGAAACCTTACCAAGCACGTCAGCAGGCTTCATGCAGGCTGAGCATGCATGCAACATTGATTTCTGCCTCCAGCAAGGGTCTACCTACAGGCATCAGCAACTAGAGGGTGAAAGAAATTATGAAGGGCTCATTCATTTCCAATGCCTCCATCATTTCCCACCCAGTTCCTCAAAGGGGTAAATATCAGATGGGCTGTTGTTGCCCCTTGCAGGACAGCTACAGACCTTAAGCACTAGCCTTGCTCCCTTTGCCGAAATGATGAAATAAAAGCTGCTGCAGCCAGCATACAGGTATCTCACAATGAAACTAATGTAGTTTCTACCTCACATATCAAGCACTGCAAAAAAATATCCTGAAGAACATGAAAACTAGGAAAAAGAAATGTTTTTCTATTGCTTTTACTTTTTATCCTAAATTTTAGTAGAAATTCAGACTGCTTAAATGCTACACAAATCTAGAAAATCTTTAAAACCTGATGTGACTTCTGCTAAAATAGGAGCATTTGGCATCTCAAAAAGCTTTCTATCTCCCTAAAAGGCCTCTTTTCATCTTTCTGAGGAAACTGAACAATACAACAGAAACTTTCAAAACCCAGGTGAAAAACAGCACACATAATGAGGGAGCTTCAAATATCTGTATCTCAGGTTTGGACTGTTTTAATATAGCAACAATGATTTGACAAAACTATGTTGGAGATTTAAATGGTTTCTGAGGATTTCTATAGCAGGCAGGAAACAATAATGATATTCAAAGCACTACTCTAAACAAATTGCTCTACTGCAATTGTTAGCTCCCTGCAAATTCTATGGAGTCTTTGAATATTACTGTAGAAAGAGATTCACATTATTTAATAGATTTCAATATGCAGTTGGAAGAATGACTAACACACAGGTATCATACCTATCTTTATTAAAAGAAAAGAAAGCAATCAAAGGACCCATTCATTTTGAGTGATTTCTCTGGAGCTGGGCTGATAATCAGATACTATAGGATACTATAGTACTGCTACTAATCTTCAAAATTAATAGCAAACATATATATAAATGAGTGAGATTTACAGAGTAAATATATCAAACAAAACAGTTTGTTCTCATAGGTATATAAATCAAATAATATCAGTGTCTGTGGATATGAACAACATTATATGGCTGTTGATTGTTTACATGTTGCAGCACAGCAGAGTTTATGAGTTGGTTTCCTTGCTGTAATGAAATCTCTGGGACCATATGTCAAACCCACTGTGGATACCCTATACACCAATCTGCCATAATGATCAGATATGCATTTTGACCAGAATGTTATGCAAGGATTATTTATCCTTAAAAATTATCTTAAAACACTGTGCAAGATATTCCTAAAGAAGCACTGTTAGAGATTTTACTTTTTTTTTTGTTTTTCCTAAGCCTAACAGTGAGATGAGGTGGCATGCAACAGACTCCTGGGAAGATTTAAAGTAATTCATCATTTATTTTGTGAAATTATGCTGGGTTTTTTTTTTAAATATACATCCCTTTTTCCATCACATGCAATTGTAAGTTTGGTACATAAACTATTTGTGCAAAGTTATTTATTACTGCTATATACACAGGAAAATTTTGGAAACTTTTCTGCTTTTCAGGGGATTGTTTTAACAATCTGTGTAAACATGTAAGCTGTTTTTTTACTAAAAGCAACTGATCCCTAATGTGTTTTCACAAGCTTATTGCATATATATGAAGTCTGCCTTAAATTGTGGAGGACTGGTAATTTTGCTTGTTTGTAACAAGATGCACCAAGTTTATCTTAAAGAAATGTGAAACATTTAATTTAAGAAATTATTTAGGCCCTGAAATACTTCACGCACTGAATCATTTTCAACTGAGGAATGAAGAAAATCAAATTGTTACTTTTACATTTAGCCAACCCCAAAACACCATCTGGATGGAAACCCTCTTAGTACTAAATGATAAGAATTTTCATAGCATAGAATCATCGAATCAGAATAGTTTGGGGTGGAAGAGACTTTAAAGGTTACTTAGTTCCAAGCCCCTGTCATGGGCCGGGACACCTTTCACTAAACTTTTTTCTCCCACAGCACTAAAATTCAGTTTACTTAAATGCTTTTTGGTCATACATCTGTGAACAGTTTAATGAAGAAATATTACAAAATTGGTAGGAATCTTGACTTTTGGTTTGCTTTGGCCAGTTTAAAAAAAAAAAAAAAAAAAACAACAACAAATGTTGTAACATTCAAAAAACTGACTAATATTTGTACTTATTAACTGGAGTATACAAAATATGTCTTGTTGCCAAAATATCCCTGTAGCACTACAAGTTATTAGCTTTTATAACTACAAATTTTACTAAGATAAAAGAATATCTGGAATCTAATTCTTACCATTCAAACAACTAGAGGCCAAATTCTGCCTTCCCTTACAGTCATGCAATCACACTTGTAACTGTTGTAAGGGCAAAATTTAGCCCCAAAGCACATTTTTATCTAAACAAATATATTTTCCTACAAATAAAAAAGCCAACCAAGCTATGCCTTATAACTGCTCTTCCCTTCTGAAGGGTAAATTCTGATATTTGAAATACCTAAACTGTATTTACAGCTGTATAACTCCCACGCCGCATACTTGCAAAACTTCACTTGTTCTCTATAAACATGGAGTAACTTGTACCATGGTCTTAAACATTTTTCTTAAAACAGAGAAAGAGCAGAGCAGCCTAGACATTCTCTTTGTCGAACTCGCACACGAAATACATGGTAATGTGACAGGCAACATCATTCCAGCCCCCGGAGGCCACCATCTCCACACAGTCCTCCTCGTCGTAGGCGTTGTTGGGCTCCCCGCTGCGCCATTTGTTGAAGGTCTGCATGGGCGACCGGTCGGAGTAGACGAAATTCCCCTCCTTCTCCAGGTCGTTAATCCCAATGAAGACCCTGGTGAGCCCAGCTTGGTTGATGTACGAGGCAATGAGGCTGTTGGCAGTCTCGTCCTTGGGCATGCTCAGCGTCCCTCCTCGCCCGTGGCAGTACAGCTGGGCCTCCTTGTACCTCTTCTCCTCCTTGACCAGCAGGTAGATCTTATTGTCGGTCTCGCGCACGCCGGCGACAGCTGCGGGGGAGGGCAGTGCTGAAAAGTGAGCACTCGCATTTCTATAAACCAAGTCACTGCACACCCCAAAGGAGCTTCACAAATCAGAGGTGGAACGGCGGCACTCTTTACAAGTGATTACACCGACAAAACGGGGCAAAAAGAAAGGAAAGTAGTTATATAAAATTAACCTACCATTTTTTATGAATTTTAGTTCTGTCATCAGCTGGGCTACTTGAATATCCATTTCACCAATAGCCTTCCTTAGCTGACTGCACTCACAAGGGATGCCTGTGAAATGATATAGATACACCCAAATTAAAAAGCTACCTAATTTCAACAATTATCTTTATGAAAAGACCCAATGTGGCAGCTCTGGAGAAAGCTGTCTTGCAAGTAACAGACAGAAAATTAGAGCCTTCACTACCCTGCACCATTATATAATTCTCAGGGGTGTCTGGGCCTGTGCAGAACAGATCAGTTCACTTCCTCTGAATCTGAATCTTCCATCCTGAATAATTAGCACTAACCTAAACACAGACAGATATTCTGTGCAAAACACCCACAATATTTTTTAATTAAAAATGTTTTCCAAAAACTCCCATTTTCAGTGAAATTATTTTCTTTAATTTTCTCAATTATTTCTTCCACAGCAAAAACATTGTTTGCATGTTCTTCACAAGGAATATATCCCAGCAGATCCAAAATTCCAGCACATATTGCACATATTTATCTCCAAAATGAAGGTCTGTGTATTTTAAAGTACAGAATTTACAATACTTCTGACAATAAAATTAGACACTAGAAAATCGTCTATTTACCCAAATTAGGGTATAGGTTTGACAAAGATAATCTGAATACTAAAAGAATAATTGTTACATCTCTGGCCACAAATCTCGAAATGAGGATCAATTACCATTTGCATTTATTACAGTTTGCAATTCTGTATGTAATTATAAAAATCTGCATTGGACTACCCAATTACTCTGCTCAGTTGTGTAAGTCAGTCTAAGCACAGGTTACCTGCCCTGCAAAACTGTGCATGCTGGCCAGGTGCACGGCACGCTGGCTCAAGAATTACAGTGACAAATAATGTTCTCATGAGAAATCTAATCTGTGCATCCCCAATGCACTCTGCCAGGAAGGGATTAATTCAGTCCAATCCAAACCTGCCACTCTTGCAAGGCTTGTACTTATGCTAGGCTGTTTCCCTAGAACATTTTACACCTCTGGAAGATCCATGCACCTCCATATAAGAATCTGAAGAGAGGGTGACAGGAAGACTGAGCCAGGCTCTGCTTGGTGGTGCCAAGCAATAGGACAAGAGGCAACAGACAGAAACTGATGCACAGGAAGTTCCTCCTGAACATGAGGAAGAACTTCTTTACTGTGTGGGTAACCAGGCACTGGAACAGATTGCCCAGAGGTTTTGTGGAATCTCCATCCCAGGGGATATTGAAGAACTGTCTGGGCACAATCCTGAGCCATGTGCTCTGGGATTACCCTGCTTGAGCAGAGGTTGGACTAGCGGACCCAATGTGGTCCACTCCAACCTGACACATTCTGTGATATGTGTTCTTGACAGTCTCCTGCTCCTATAACTATAATCCATGGATGAGCAGGAGCATCCAACCTGCTCCTTTGTGTTGACTGGAAGACAAAGAGAGATATGCAGAGACATCCCATTGCCCTGGTGATGAATGAAACAGACATTCTGACTTCAGTTTCCACCAGGCTTCTGGAGAGATTACTCCACAGAGAAAGTATGAGATACTGTTTTAGCATATACACTACAAGTCTAGCAACTGCTGCAACTTCAATGATTTTAAGCCGTTTGAAAAAATCACCGTGAAATATTACAGTACCAATGAAAAAAAGAATTCATTATTTCCTCCAGTATGTAAACAGATGTATTTTTAGTGATTAAAAGTCTTTCACATAAACAAGGTGTGTTATGAATTACCTGGGTCACCATTTGGACCTGGTGGTCCTATGTCACCATTATCTCCTTTTTCACCTGAAGACATGAAAAATAACATAATGTTAATGCTGCCTTTTCTGTCGATAGTTCATTTAGCATTTATCTATTTTTTCACTAGTAAAATTCAAATGTGGAAAGTAGAAATATACCCAAGCAAAAATAAAGATTTTTCTGTCCCAGTCATTCCACAATAAAGGCCAGCCATAGCTATGAAACTTGAACCCAAATAATATGCACCAATATTCAATTCTTGACATTCATAAACTTCACAGAACCAGTAAATTCAGATGCTGTAGGGGGAAAAAGGCTGGATTTCCCTAAAATTTGAGTAATTATCTAGATTATTAGGTAAACGCTGGTCCAAATAACCAGTATCACATAGGAAGCCTATGGAACAGTCAACATAAGAAAAGACATCTAACTCTTAAAAGTCTGCCAAAGTACAGCACATCTTCCCATCTTCTTTAACTGTCCACACTTGTGTGACAGTGCAAAGTTCGTTATTTATCCTCAAACCAGAATACTCACAGTGCTTTAAGACTAAATATGCTGCTGCCACAGCAAAGGTAACTGGCTGAGAAATCTCAGCGCCCTGGCTGATTACAGGGCGAGAAAATTCCTACTAAGGTAAACTGTGAGACTTGTTAGCCATTTTTCAATGGCTAAACTTTTCTCAAATATAAATGATCACACATTTTTCACCTAAAACACAAATCGATAAATAATTGAATTAAACCTACCTTTTGAACCAATAGGACCAATTTTTCCATGACGTCCTATGCTGCCTTTCTGTCCTTTGTCCCCCATTTCTCCTACACATAACAGAAGGATGAAAGGCACAAGGTAGCAATGTAGTCTCATTCATTCAGATTCTACTATGTTTGCAATATCAGTTTTTAAAATGAACAAATTCTATACCCCAAATATTCATTGAACTCCAGAGGTCTAGCTCAATCCTTGTGAAGAACTTACATACAGCAACCTAGACAGTGATTTCATCTTTGTTAAACAATTGACATTAACAAGGCATGAAGGTGTAATTGTCAGCAGTTCTTGTTTGAAAACCAGTGGAAAAACTTTTCCAAACTTCTTTCAGCGGATCGTGACAGAATTATGTTGAAAATACAGAGGATTGTTGCATTCAAACATGGATCAGCAGATTAAAACTATCATGGAGTTGAGAAGACCTAAAGGCTCCAAGCACAACTGACATTTCATCTCAGACAGAGATTCCACTGTAACTGAGGGCTGGTTGGGATTTAATGACCTATTTATGCAATAGAAATACTGTCATATGAGATAGGTTTCTCTCTGTACCACACTGTTAGAGGAGAGCGGGTATGGAGGGACTGCAGGGATGAATGCCTGCTGAGGCTCCCATCCTGCAGAAATCTAAGCCCAGAACTGCTTCAGGAAATATTTATGAAGTTGTTTTCAATGACTGTTGAAAAGATTGTTTCTTTGCTGAAAGCAACGTCTGCTATGCTCTGGTCAACACAGGTGCAAGGAAACAATGAGACAAGCTAGGACGAAAATCCACAAGAGGGATCCAGCAACTGGACTTGTGCAAACTGTCACAGCTCGGCCTCAGATGTGGATCCATGACAACTGAAGATCTGCTGCCCCCTGTTGCTACTGCATTTGGACAGACATTCGTATTTTTGAAAGCTGGATAATTTTATTACCCATTTTGTCATTACCATTTACTTAAAGGTGAAATCAATAACAAGTTTCAGAATATAAACTGATCACTGGTGGGCTAAGAGATGTTATATCTATTACTCCATGAAGTCTCAAGCAACCTTTGTCCCTTGATGGCATGAGCCAGAAAGAAACCATTTCCTCTAAACTGAGAGAAGCTAAATGTGAGTGGTTTGTTGGTCTGATTAATTATTGGCAAGTCCGGCAATCAATCATTTTCCTTTGTTTCTAACAAGTATCAAATTCAGACACTACTGGACACAGGCTTTCACCAGAAAACAAAAATATATTTCTCTTATCTATTCCTACTGGAAGTACCACCTAGTTATCAGTTTATCAAGTTGCTCTGAAAATTATGTCTCTTGTTCTGCATATTATTGAACTGGGATTACCATATTAAAGATTATCAGATGTTTGAATTCTTTCTCTTTTCAGGCTGCTGCACCTGAAATTAAATAAACTCACTGATCTAATCTGTAAATAAAATAAAATATAGAAAATTATTTCACTTTCTTTCTTGTAGAAATTGCCTAGAAAATGAACTGCTTCTCAGTCACAGCCAGTAAAACCCATGTGCTCTGCTCAGAAGTAAAAGGAAGGTGTGTTATCTCGCGCAATGAAGACATACATTAATTCTCCTTTCCTCATTAAAAGAATTGTTCGCATTTGGGGTTCTCTTACAGTGACTAACCCCTGCTTCCACTCCAGGGGCTTGCTTATTCTGCTTCTTCTGCAGAATAAATCACAAAGTTTCAAGAGAAACCCATCTGCCTTGAGGGTTTTCAGAAGTTTTAATACCTTTTGTAAAGCCCTTTTTAGTGGCCCTATGGTTGTCAAAAATGCAGTCTGAGAAGTCTTAACAAAATTGGGAAGTGGTAGCTGGAAAGAAATTGGGACAATAAAAGAAATTAAGTCTCCATAGACCAAAAATAGGAAATCAAACACAAAGAGTGAATAAAGAATTGAAGAAAGCCATCTGACATGTCTCAGATGAAGGTGGCATACATTGGAACCAATTATAGAAGATTTAAAGGATTTGGGAAGGAACTGAAGAGAAGGAAATTCTAAATTATCTTCTTGGTGGCTTTTTCAGGCCCACAAACAAGTGAAGAAATAAAACTCCAGAGATAAATGGTGGGCTGCAAAACAAGTGAAAAAATGAGGGGTTGCACTCTGTGCCATACTATAAATGGGGGTCACAGAATATGAGCAATCTCATCAGAATTATTTGGAAGAGACAAGAAGGTATAAAACTACCTCAAAAATAAAAAGGCATCAAAAAGACAAATCTAGCAGAAATGCAAATTCACCATATCACAGACAAATTTAATCGAATCATGGTAAAAAGAAGACAGCAGTAGCTTTCTTTCCAGACTTAAGGATTTTAAGTTTGGAAATCAAATCAAATCAAATCAAATCCATGATTTGACATAGAGGACATCATAGACACCTACCTAACAAGGAAAGTAGAAATGTACCAAACCACACCAAAGGCCTCTTGAATCTAGTGCCATCTTTAACAGCAATCTGCAGAGGATACTTAGGAAGAGAACATAATATATAGATGAAGATTAAAAAGTCTTTCCCCCAGTACACCTCAATAGTCTTGCAGCAGTCAGCATTCCCAATGCAAATGGATTGCCTGACTTGAATGAGAATGATATTTTTAAAGGATATAATGATACTATAGTAGTAATCTGCATTCAGGACACTTCTTTTTTAAAAAACTATTGGCAACTGGAAATCAGAAAATTCCAAATATGTCAACAGGCTACAGAACTGCTTTTCACTGAAATATATAAATTATCCACACTAATGAAGGTCAGCGATTGGTGAGGGAACCACCGATTGCTGAGGAACTTACTCTCGGTAGGTGGCTACAAGAAGTTACATCTTATCATAGAATCATGAAATGAGCTGAGTAGGAAGCAACCTTTACGATCATCTAGTACCAACCCCCTTCCATGTGCAGGGACACCTTCCACAAGACCAGGTTACCCAGGGCCCCATCCAACATGCTCTTGAACACTCTTTGAAGGATGGAGAATCCATAGCTTCTCTGGGAAACTTGTTCCAAGGTCTCACTATCCTCACAGTAAATAATTTATTCCTTATATCTAACCTAAATTTGCCCACTTTCAATTTAAAGCCATTCATCTTTGTCCCATTATTACACGCCCTTTCTGGCTTTCTTGCAGGTCTCCTTTACTGGAAGAGGCTCTAAGGTCTCCCTGGAGCCTTCTCTTCTGCATGTTGAATAAGACAAACTCTCTCAGCCTGTCTTCAAGGTAGAGGTGTCCCATCCACCTCTGATCATCTTTGTGGCTGTCCTCTGGACTTGCTCCAGCACATCCATGTCCATTTTATGCTGGGGGCCCCAGAGCCAGGGCTCTCATGAAAGCAGGGTAGAGTGGGAGAATTACTTCCCTCAGCCTGCTGCCCATGCTGCTGTTGATGTAGCCCAGGATGTGGTTGGATTTCTGGGCTGCAAGGGCACATGGCCAGCTCATGTTGAGCTTCTCTTGAACAAACACCCCCAAATTCTTCACCTCCAGGCTCCTCTCAGTCCATTCTCTGCCCAGTCTGTGTTTGAGATTGCCCTAACCCAGATCCAGGAACATGCACTGGGTCTTGTTGAACTTCATGCGCCCACCTCAAGTCTGACCAGGTCCCTCTGGGTGGCGTTCCTTCCCTCCAGCGTGTTGACTGTGACACACAGCTTGGTGGTGTTGGCAAACCTGCTGAGGGCACGCTCAATCCCACCAGCTGTGTCACCAACAATGTTAAACAAATATTCTTACATGAATTAAGAGTGCATAAGCACAGGAGGCATTTCATATAGCTAGGGCAAAAAAATTTCATCCAGCATTAGCCACCCTAAGGTTTGGGATTTTAGTCTAAGATATTTATCTAAACTCCCACAGTAGGCAATGGAAAAACAAACACCTCTGAGTAGGGATCCATCCCACTCATGTTAGACAGGTATCATAATCAGAATAGTAAGAAAATTTGCAAAGGAAACTAAAGCTAGTGAGAAAAAATCCAATCTAGAGAGGCACAGAAATGTTTAAAGGATTTAAAAGTATATTCAAAGCCAAAATAGTACAGTACATTCCTGAATGGACGAGTTTCTATGTGGAGGCAAGCAAAGCAAAATAAGAGCCCTCATGAAACATTATCTCACTAGTATTATGTTAACAACATATTACCAAGCTTCTTCAAACCAGTGGCCCCTCTAGCCCAAGACTTTGTTTCCTGTGATGGCAGCAGAAGGTGCAGTCCAGGAAGATCCCACAACCACAGCCACTATCTGCAGGTGGAATCGCTGGATCTGTCCCGAGCAGCTTCAGAGAGGGCCTCCTGGTCAGGTATGATGGGATCTGATGATTCTGTAATCTTGATTATAACCTCCTCAGACTACTCTGTACAGATACAAGAGTCTCAGTCTGTCCAGTTTCTCCTTATGAGGCAGCTCCTCTTTTTCACATTTTGGTGTCCATCTCTTACCTCTCAAGTCTTTTTTGAGAGACAAAGGCCAGAAAAACATTCTTGAGACTGTACATGTCAGGCTTTTGTATAGAACAAGATCAGCTGCCAAAGAAGCTTCCTGTTTTGTCCTTTGTCCTTTTGTCATCCTTCTGTGATGATGGGCAGTGTTCTGTTGGCCTTGGGAGTCTTGCTAATGACTTCAGAGCAATCCTTGAGTTTTAAGTGACAGTTTGGGGTTTTGGCATCATTTGACATGGATTAAATCATGCATCCCTGATTTCCCTAGGCAATATATTTATTTACATTGAAGCCCATCTGCCACCTTTTTGCCCACTCAGTTTAGCAGTATTTTCTCAAAATCCTATTGAGTTCAGGTGGAACTGAAAGACAGTTTTGAACCAGATACCCACTTTGTGAATTCACAGCTGTCAATGTCAGGACTTTTATATGGAATACTGCCTGCAGCACTCCTTAGCGAGCAATAAATTCATGTAGAAATTGACTCAGAAATGCAAAGGATTGATTGATTACATATTAATGAGCAATCAGTAATAATAAAATATAAATTAAGATATTATTACCTCTTTTTAGAATTTGATTATACAAATGACTGAGCACTCTG